TGTGTGTATATATATATATATATGTGTGTGTGTGTGTGTGTATTTATTTGTACATATATGTATATATGTTTGTATATGTGTATGTACATATATATATATGTATTTATATGTACATATATGTATATATATATATATATATATATATATTTACATACATATGCATATATATGTATGTATATATATGTATGTATATTTATATATGTCTATACAAATTCAAAAACTTCATATCATTTTATGTACGTTGATCCATTGTAGCTGTTTGACTGCACAAAACAAAAATAAATAAACAATACCAATTCAATATTGACAAATTCTGTTTAATATTGTGTGATACTCTTTTTCTTAAAATACAGTCTTTTCTGAGGTAGACTATTACAGTTCAAGAACATTATTATCTTTTTTTTTTTTTCAAACAGACATCCAAAACGACATGAAATAAATACTTTCATGTACAATATGCTGCAAAAAATGAGGTAGAAATGGTCACAGAAAATGAACAATAACCAAGAACGACGCTACTGCAGATCAAAATGTACAAAATAAAAGCTCATTGGGTTGGACAAACTGCCAGAATAAAAGACGCTGTCAGGTATGAAAATATTGCAGCTATGAATCTTTTTAATTACACGTGGATATTTGTGGCTGTTTGGTGCCTGCAGCTTGAGGCAGGGGCGTGATTTGTAAAAGTGTTTTCAGTTTCAGAGACAGTGATCAGTATGCACCGGGAGGGGGGAGGAAGGGGGGCGGCGCTCTGATTGATCCGGCTGCATGGCATGACTGAAGCAACCAGCTGCTGAAGGAAGGCTGCACTCTGATATAGAATTGCTGGACATCAATCAGCCCCACTTCCACTCCAACAAAATCAGTATCGGGGGCGGGGGTACAGCGCCACATGCTCACCGAGGCTTGTGGCCACGGGGCAATCCAGTCTAATGAGATTGCATTCGTGAGAGAGAGAGCAAGAGAGAAAGAAAAATAATGATGAAGGTGGGAATGAAGAAAGAAACAGGGGGAAGGATGACGGTGATATTACATCATTTTGTGCAGACCTCCCAAGACCCATGACCAAAGTAACATACAAGCATGTTGCCAGATTAGTCACTTATTTTTCCCTGTTTGGTTAAACAAAAACAAGACAGAGCTGCAAAACAAAGAGTCCTGGATTAATCCACTTTATAGTCCCCGCAGCTGTGAATATTTAGACTTTGAGAAATATTGAATGCTACATGAAACAACTTCTTTATACTCTTTGTTTTGGGGTGGGGCTTTTGAAGTACTGTTTTGTGCTCACATGTGTGATTGTTGATTTGCATCTACATATTCTTTTTTGCACCGAGCAGACATGTGACAGCAGTATGTCCAACCAAAGAAGAATTATTTTCTGTATTCTACATCGCATTCCTTGATGACAATCGTCACTTCACCATAAACTACAAGAAATATAAAGAATAACATAACTGAAAAAAAAACAACATTTATATGTTCATATATAATAATACATGGATTTATGGCATCAAATATCCTTTGAAAATACCTGAATTACATTCAATGTTACTCTTTGTAGCATATTCAAGTTTTCCTTCCGAAGTACGAGCCCTGCTGCAGACTGTCCGGTTCTTAATTTCACTCCGCACCGCTCTCTTATAAGACCCTAAGATTACATACATTCTTTATTTCTTAGTTCTGAGGTAAAAGTAATTCTTCCTGAGCATTTCAAATAATATTACATAATATAACAAAAACAGAGAGGGAAGCAAGCATGATGTGGGAGAAGCTGGATGCACAGGTTTTCGTCTTTAAGTAGGATTCTCCAGAAAACTGCAGTTGATGTGGAATGTGGATCAAAAAAAAGATTATTAGTTAGTTGTGCTGCGTTGTGCGAGCGCAGTGCCCTTGAATATAAATCTGGGTGTAGTTCTGCAACAAAACTACATAAAAATCTTGGTTAAGCAACTGGTGCAGGTTTAAGCATTGTGTTTTCACATAGTAATAAGCAGCTGTTTTGTCATAGTTTCGGAAGAAGGGACGAAAATATCAACATGCTGTGATTTTTATAGAACCAGTCCATTGGGGGGGGGGGGGGGTTAACAGTGCTTTTTGTTTTGTATTTGGTTTGACAAGTTTTTGGTCTAAAATTGCAGAAGTGTTGCTGATCCCAAGCCCTTTGTGCCGAATGACTACAATCCAATGACCACACTGATGTTAGGATAACATGAAGGAGGACTGGTAATAAATAGGAACCTGAGAGCAGCAGCCAAATGGGGGATATTTCCAAACCCTGATTATTATTACCTTGGACCACCACACCTAGCAACAAATATGGATTTTGCGCTGGACCAAGGCTAATCTGGATCTTGGAGAATATCCAAATAGGTTTCTGATTTTCCCATTGGCCAAATGACAAAAAAAAAAAAAAACAACAACAAAAAAATACACCACTTCATCACTCATCTTTCTTTGGGAATAACGTAATTAAGTGGGCAAAACAAAACAGTATGTTTTGGTATGCTCCTACCATTAGAACAAATCTGTCAGCATTCTCCTGTTGTTGAGCTCTTCTTACTCGTGTTGCTGCATAATCTGAAATTGAAAAAGCAAAAATAAAACATTCCCGTGGCTCTTTAAGCCAAAACTAACACATGGCAGTCCGAGCACAATGACTGGCTGCTGTCTCAGTGGCTATACATCTTGCTCCACTCCAAACAAGTGTCTAGTTCTTTTGTGGTGGTGTGTGGCCGCACCTTGCAGAAGGCATTCTCAAAATCAGTGAAGTCTGGGGGTTTGGGGGGTGTGGCAAGGCGGTGCATAACTCCAGTTTGGGAGGACGCTGAGGAAAGTGCCTGCTGGCTGAGCTGCAGCAGCTCCCACACTGAAAAGCCTTCTGTGCGCTGCAGCACAGCGTTCAGCTCCCTTTCATGCAGGCTGCAGCCTTGGGGTGTCAGGGCCTGCAGCAGCACATGCTGACGAATTCCCACATCTGGTAGACCAACATAATATCTCTTGGCGAAGCTCCGATGTACCGCTTCTGGCAATAGATCCGGCCTTCCAGTAGCACATACAAAAATGACCAGACCTGTGGTCCCCACCTGGGCTTTCTCCAGGGTCGTCAGCAGGATCTGCCTCAGCGCATCCTCCTCCATGGCCTCCACCTGACTAAGCAGCACTACAGAGGGTTGCCGTGCCTCTGCCACCTGCAGCAGAGAACCCAGAATGTGTTCTGCTTCCAACTTCCCCTTGGTGGCCAGCATTGCTCCACTGGCACGATAAAAAGAAGCCCCCAACTGTGAGGCCAATGACTGAGCCAGTGTCATCTTACCCCCTCCACTGGGGCCAAACAGCAGGATGGTTCTTGGTGGCTGCACCACTGGACTGGGCCTCAAAACGGGCCAAATTAGGTCCTCCTCCAGTGCAGCCTTTACATGGGTGAGCCCTAATAGTTCACTCCAGAGCAGCGTGGGGCTGCAGTCTAATAACTCTCCATTGATGAGCTCCAACATTCGGGGGTCTGGACTCTTCACGGTCTCAACAGTTGGAGTACATAATGGAGGGCGTTTGAGTGCCTGAGAGCGATGTTGCTGCTGGGTGAAGCCCTGCTCTGTCACCCCACTGTCCCCTGTCATGCCAGCTGGAGGGCTATATTCCCCTCCTGCTGCAAACTCAGGGGACACCAGGGGCTGAGAGGAGAGCTTACTAGGCTTGAATGTTTGGGGGTCTGCACTGCCTGAGCTGCTGAAGCCATTTCCACAACACTCTGTTTTGTCGTTCACACTGTAGGGAGAAGTTCCACCACCCTTTAAGGGGTCATATCTATATTTTCTGTAACGAGACCTGTCTCCGCTGTCATCCTCCTCGACGCTAATGTCAAATGCCTTTCTTTTTAATGTCCCTCCAGACTCAGATGCCTCAAGGCTGGCGCTTTGGTAGCTATAAGTGCCTCCTACCACTGTGGGCCTTGGGGGAACAGGGGTAGGAGCTGGCAGACCTGAGGGGAGGTAAGTTGCAGAGGGTTGACTGTAGCTTGAAGCCAGGCTGGTCTGGGGAGGGTATGCACTGGGTGGGTAGTTATAAACTGGTGTGTTTGGGCTGTAGCTGGGTACCAAAGTGGGTGTGGACTGCAGAGTGTGGAGGGAGGTGGGGGGAAGTGCTGCGCTGGGCTGCGGACAGAACCCTGAGGAAAGATAGGTGCCATGATAGCTTGAGGGATACTCACTGGAACCAGTGCAAGAGCTGCTACCACTGTAAGCAGAGTCTGAGAGATTACTGTTCACTGCTGAAACGTTGCCACCGCCAGGAGGGCCAGTGGATGTGGCTACAGTCTTAGAGCTTGAAAGGCTCTCGTGGCATCCAGGAGGAGCCAAGGGATAGGAGGTGTCAGTGTTGTGCATCAGTGACCAAGGTTCCAGCTCTGTCTTCTGGCCATTAAGGCCCCCAAAGCCACCTGGTTCTGGGTAGGTAGCCACAGTAGGAGGCCTGTCATATGGGGAGTCCAGCACGCCAGCGTACTTCTCAGCGTAGCGCTTTAGCAGATTTGAGGCTGTGAGGGCAGAGATGTCATCATTGGCCCAAGCGTAGTTGTAGCTGGAGCTGCGGCCGCGGCCAGAATATAAATCTGACTTATGAGCAGGAGAGGAGGTGGTGGAGGAGACGTCCAGGTGCTGCTCAGGCCACTGGCTGAGGGACTGGGCATGCTCTGGGTTCCAGTGCATCTTTAACAGGCCTGAGAATAGAAACACAGGAAATTCAATTCATATTTAATATGAATACAAATCTATCAGGTAATAAGTTATCATTGGTGCAAAGCTATGTCGAATATTGGCTATGAAAAAAAATTATCTGATGAATTTACAGAAATAGTTACTTTTACAAGTCACGTGAAACAGATTCATTTTTTTCCTTTAGACACTTGATTGCATTAATGGATATTTTATGTATACCTGACAGATTTTTCATAATCATAAGTACCATACGTTTTATTATAAGTTTTATTATAAGTTTTATTATAAAATTCAATTCTCCATTTTTTTTAAAAGTTTATTTAAAGTTAAAAAAAATGTCAATGTTAATATTAACCATAGGTATACACTAAAATTACTGCTTTCCAACCAGAGAGTCTATTTTTACATAAAAGCAGTATTGTTCTTCATTAAGTGTACAACCAAAAGAATAGGCTTATACTTATATATACTGTACAATACTGTGCCAAAGTCTCAAGTCATCTCTCCTTTCTTTAGATCTTCCATAAAGTCCAACTTCCCTAAAATATTTTTAAGTGAACTTGGTTTTGATCATTGATTAAAAATAACCTTAACAAAGTTGATCAATCTTTTTTTTATTTTATTATTTTGACATTTTTTCAGGGCAGCCAACTTTGGAACCAGAAAATCACAAGTTTGATTCCCTGCCATGCCCATATGTTGTGGTGTCCTTGAGCAATGCATGCTCTAACTGCTCCCCGGGTGCTTAAATAGCAACCCGCTGCTCCACTTGGGTGTATCTCATGTGTGATGGGTCAAATACAGAGGACAAATTTCGTCACTGTATGGGTGTGCAATGATGACAATAAAAGAAGGTTGAGTTTCCCAAAGAGGAAAAGGGAAGAGGAAGGTGCAGTGGAGTGGAGAGACGCAGAGAAGCTGCAGGGGAAAAAAGCGTGAAGGTGATATGCATGCATTGTTTTTTGTCATTTCTCGTCTTATGTAAGCGTGGAGATAAGATCCCACTTATTTTCCCTCTAATAGTGACATCTGCAGGTCTCCCAGAGGAGCTATTGTTATCTCCCTGTGCATGGTCTGAATGCCTACTTTCTCCGCCCTACACCCCCTCCTACTACCCGCCCACCGTACGCCAGAGCTCCAAACACCCAGTGTCTTGTTGGACACATGAAATAAGGGGGGTAAAAGAGGATGCATGCAGAGAGTGTGGGACAGAAAGAAGAGGGTGTGCTAAATGCAGCTTAGTGTGCTGTTTCCCTGCAAAGTCTCTTATGGAACATTGGGAAAGTGGAATGTCTGTTCTTCGGACCGACCTCTGCACAGATTGAGGCGATCTGGGAAAAAAGCAGCAAATAATGCTATTTTAAAAAACGTCCAAAATATTTGATCTTTTACGCAGTTTGTGCAAAATCTTATTTTCCATTTAAAGACCCAACTGTTGGAATTTCACATTTCATGTGTCAATACTTCAGTATATCACTATGTTATATCTGAGTCATGAAAGGTAATGCTGCTTCTCGCTGAAGCATTAGCTCGACATTCCACACATAGCTTGGCATTATTGAACTGTCACAATTTACCCCGAGGTGAGAGCTACTCCAGCCAGAACAAGGAGAGAAAAAGAATATAGCGAAAGCCGTCATTGCTGCACTCTCTGCTTCTCCTTCAATAGACTCGCGAAGATTCATTATTCATGGCTGTCTGTAGGTGAGGAGCCAGGATTCTTATTGCCATTTAAATCAAACCTCACTATCCACGGCTCTAAGATTCTGCTTCTTATAACCCGCTCTCCTGCTCACTCCTCAACTTTGACCTCTGTCTTTCCAAACCTCTCCATGTGTGTTTTCAGATTACGTCTGTTGTTTATTCAGTCAGATGAGACCAGCAGACCAGATGGCCGTTGGATTATCATGTCCTTCATATTCAAATGGACTGCCTTAAGTTCCCAATGGCCAAACCAGTTCACTTCACAAAGCTAGACAGCTCACACTGAAGTAAACTGTAATATTCTCACTTTACTCGTTTTTTAACAAACGTATAGAAGAGGTCGACTCATCCGCACCCTGATGACCACATTTTTTGTTTTGTGGTCTTTGTCCAGGCTGCAGAAACCATATATGTCCAGCAGGCCCTTCCCATCTGCAGCCCAACCAGTTTGTGAGCAGCCCCAATAATGGGGCCTGTGTGTGACAGAGATGGATGAGAGCCCAGGGGAGCTAATAAAACCTGCAGCAGGGAGGGAGGGATGGAAGAAGGCAGAGATGGAAGAAGGGAGGGGAAAGAGTGGACAGCAGGCGCTCCGTCCTTTCTAAGCGGACTGTAGCAGACATTATAGGACTCGGTGAGGCGGGCTAGCTGCTGTCCACTCCATCATCAGAGTATGTCTAATACAGAGTGGTACACTAATCTAAACCAGTGCAACAACCAGTACACTTAAAGAACACACTCCCTGTTAAAACTGACAGTGCTATTGTCTATAAGGCTTTTTTAAATTATTATTCTGTGCGTGTTTAAAATTTAAAAGAGTGATAAAACACCAGAGTTTAGTTCTTTCTACTGCCTTCTGCTGGATTGTGACACTATGTCCACAATAAACTGAGCAAGCTCTAATCTACACGCATGCCTAAATCAGAGCCATCATGTAGATTAATTCGTTGGAGGGCTGGTAAGAAAGCTAAGATTAGAAGTAGGGAATCAGGACAATGTGGACAGGCTGTTGATAGCCGGGAAACCATTAGATCAACCTCAACAAATGCTTCATTACAGCCCAAGATATTTATTTTGGACCAAAAATGAAAAGAAAAATAAATAAATTAAATTAAATTAAAAACCAGTCTTTTGCTAATTTTGAGATTCATTACAAAACAAATTGTTGGAAGATTTTTTTTTTTTTACATCACAGCTTTAATAATGCAACATTTTTCTTTCTGCTACAATCTCATCAAATCTATCCTACTTATCTTAGAGAAGGATTAAATATTTAAAGATAAATTAAGATTGGACAAGAACATTATTATTTGAAGACCAAAATCCTTGTTGTTTGTTAAGTTGTTGTTGTTTGTTTTATTTTTAAATGCTGAACAGAAATGAGTCTCAGTAACAAGGGTGTGATCTTACTTTGCTGCGAGGAGCTTGATATGAACCTTCTGAGTATGCACATTAAACTTCCCAATTATTGTGTGAGTTTTTTTTTTGGGGGGGGGGGGGGGGGGGGGGGGGGG